AGCCGTAAGGCACAATACCTGAATAACGTTCCCGTTTCCGCAAAGAAGTTGACCTGAATGAATCAAATTAGGGGCCATCAGACTCTTGCGGCACTAAAGTACCTACTGAGCTTTAACACGTAGCAAGATCTTCATTAGGAATTGACTGGCTAGAGATTGCCTCACTCTCACAAGCTGGCATCAGCAAAACATCCCGCCTGTCCGGCCCAGGTTGGGTTGGCATTGTTCACACTTCTATTGTACAGACATCAGCTGAGGTCGAGACGTTCCTTGACTACAGTTACAGCGAGTCCAGTTGTGCCGGCTGCGGCTACACACAGGTAGCTGTAACGGCTGGTGATCTTGGAGCCATGATACACGCAGCTGTGACGGCTGATGATCTTGGAGCTGTGACAAACGCAGCTGTGACAGCTGATGATCTTGGAGCTGTGATATACGCAGCTGTGACGGCTGATGATCTTGGGGCTGTGATACACGCAGCTGTGACGGCTGATATTCTTGGAGCTGTGACACACGCAGCTGTGACGGCCGCGGGTGACACAGCTGTGATACACGCGGCTGTGACGGCCGCACATGGCACAGCTGTGATACACGCAGCTGTGAAGGCCGCAGCTGGCACAGCTGTGATACGCGCAGCTTTGATGGCCGCAGCTGGCACAGCTGTGATACACGCAGCTGCGACGGCCGCAGGTGGCACGGCTGTCTCATTATGGGCCATACACGGACGGTCAGCTGTCAGGCGCGACGACGACAGACACGACAGCTTCAGGGATGACGGCTGCACGTGACAGCCGTGTATGTGCGACAAGGTGACAGCTGCTCGTCTGCCACACCTGACACGTTGTGACGCCCAGGAGTGTTTGACCGGCGCCGGTGTACCGGCCGCCGGCGTGAGAGCCGCGGTTGTGACAGCCGCACACGGCCGTGGCCGGACCGTCAGCAGCCGCACACGGCCGTGCCCGGACAGTCAGTAGCCGCACATGGCCGTGTTCGGACCGTCAGCAGCCGCACACGGCCGTGTCCGGACCGTCAGCAGCTGCAGTCGCGGCCGTGTCCGGACCGCCAGCAGCTGCAGTCACGGCCGTGTCCGGACCACCAGCAGCCGCACGCGGGCGTGTCCGGACCGTCAGCAGCTGCAGTGCGGCCGTGTCCGGACCACCAGCAGCCGCACACGGCCGTGTCCGGATCGTCAGCAGCTGCAGTCGCGGCCGTGTCCGGACCGCCAGCAGCTGCAGTCGCGACCGTGTCCGGACCGCCAGCAGCTGCAGTCACGGCCGTGTCCGGACCGCCAGCAGCTGCAGTCACGGCCGTGTCCGGACCGCCAGTAGCTGCAGTCGCGGCCTTCGCGCCCACTCGACCCGACGCGGCCCATCACAAGCGCGGTCCCAGCCGCTCGGGCGCCGGCCTCGGCTCGCTGAGGGCGCCGGCGCCGGCCTCTGGTGGACACAGCAGCGGCGCCGGGGTGTGGGGCAACGCACTGACAGCAGCCGCTCCCACAGGGACAGCCACCCCATCCCTAACGGCGCCTCCAGTCCCACGCCGTGGCGCGTAATGTGCGGGGTTGCCTAACACGCCGGGTGATGTAGCTGCTTTGTCCGGTCGGGGGGAGGGGGGGGGGGGGGCTATGTACCGCAGTCATTTCGGGCTGCGAGTCCCGTTGAGTGAGGGGAGGCTTGATGATGTGATTTTCGTGAGGCCATGCGGCACGTGGGATTTGAAGAGGTACTGGAACGCGATGGCCCTGAGCAGGTGGTGTTGGTTGATCTGGGAGGTGGCATCGAAACCGCTGCTCCTGCCTGGCACACCGCGACGCGTCTCGGACCGGCCTGGGTCAAGGTATTAAAGCCTCACTAGCATTGTCTAGTGCGCGGTGACAGCACAGCCGCGCAGAGTTTAAAACGTTTACTGTTAGCTCGGAATGTGTGTCTCTTTATTCACTACCATTTGTATTTTACGCGTGGCCTTCGGATGTGATAAGATGCCCAACGTGAGTTAGGTGACAACGTTTATTTCATGGTCATTTTGCTGCCTATAAAAAGCAATGGAAGTAGCAGAATTAGCTAAATACCTGCAGTAATCCCGACCTCTAATCCCAAACTAGAATGATATACATCATATAACACTTCATATGCGTCCATAAGCAGCAGTGATATGCTCATGGAATGATAACATAAATACGCCCCAAGATCGTTTTAGATATTGAGCCCCTTCTGCTTGTTGACCACATCGCAAAGCGCGTACCAACTGTGCTCTGTCAGTTAGGACAGAATCGCTACGCACATTTCCATCGCGCTCGCGCCATACGTATCGCGGAGACTGAGTTAATGGATGTTCCTAACTACCACGGCTGTTACTCATGACAGTGGCATGGAGCTGTGGCGTTAAAGCTGTTCTTCACTCCGCCCGGCTTAACTGCTCGAATCTAGAAATCGTAACAGGATTTAAAAGACCACGTCCGTGATAAATTATCCGGTTGGGAGGAGCCCCCCGCTGACATTTCTTCGGCGCACGTGACGTCGACTTCATCGTTCTAGGTTAGTTTCACTTTTCAAATGTTGTGTGCTGGTGAAGATCGATCGTTTCTTCCCTGTTTGTCGCATCTTGTCGGACGGGTGTCACGAGCAGGCCTCGCAAACCTAAGCCCAGGCCTAGTGAGTCTTCAGCTCCGTATGTTTGCAAGCGCATGCGGTGCATCTGACGCCGCTTTTGGTCAGTTCTATCTGCGCTTGATGCAACTTGCCGACACCAGGCTGCTTGGTCGGCTAGCAAGCAGTAGACACATCGAAAATCCTTTGAAGAGTATTCGTTCCTGCGCATACCGTTTAAGACATTGCCCTCTAGAGAGATGTTATTGGCATGGCTTTCTCCTTTGCACGCTACACCTTGTGGTGCATAACGGGTTTCACGCAAATATTCTCTACAAGCCAACCCAGAGCGACAGTTTGCAGCGAGCCAACCAGGTCGGGTTCAGTGCATTTGTCATTCATCCAGTAGTTGTCCATCATTCGTAGCCATTATTTGCATTTCAGATCCATTACAAAGAAGGCGCCACAGCTAGATATTTGCAGCAAAATACCAACTCAAATTTTGGGTGCCATTTTCCTCTGTTCCACAGAATCGTAGAACATGGTGGACCGACTGCATCGATTGCATTACCTAGCTCGCAATGGAAAGCATAGATGTTTTCGTTTTTCCTCTGCACGGCAAGTTGAGGCAGAGACACGATCGAGATTTTCTCAGGAAGGAAGGTGGTGGAGCCCAGTGAGAACGCACCACGCGGAGCTTTAGCTTTTTGTCTGTAGTCAGCCATGCTCAAAATTAAAAAAAAGAATCCGGGTCTGAGGGAGCGGCATCCCACTCCTCTCCCCCGCCCCACCCCTGCCCTCCACTGACCTTTTGGCTGTACCCCTGAGCTGGAGTATATACAGGAATATGACTCATACATTTCATTGGAATGCCATGGAGGGGCGGGGGGGGGGGGGCTCAGTTTAGACAAAACAATGCTCCTTTTTCATTTTCCATGAGGACGGATAAAGACATGCTCGGGGCATAGCCTCTTAAAGGTACACAAAAACCTCCACATGAAGATGGATGCATGTGTAATATGTCTTTGTACACCTACATATATTTACACTGGGTCATTAACTGAGTGTACTTACGAAACAATTACTGATGTAACCGAATGTGCACTTACTTGGCTCGGTCGCTCGACAATGACCCCATATGTCTCGCCGAAAGCCAGCCGGACACGTGAGCGTGACCCGTCAGCTGTGTGTAGCCGATAGCAGAAGCCATCTTAAATAAATGCATCTCAATGACTTCGAACCTGGGAAGCACGCGATCAAATTATCCCTTACCGGGTATGACCGCATACAACATGGGTATGTGAAAGCACATAAACCGACAGACGTGAGCGACCTGCCCGCTGGGCTCGGCAAAGCAGGACGGTCGCAGATCAGACACGGCAGGTGCGGCCCACCGATTTGCTTGGACCGGCCAGCCCACCAGCCGGCCACGGTCGCAGATCAGACACGGCAGGTGCGGCCCACCGATTTGCTTGGACCGGCCAGCCCACCATCCAGCCACGGTCGCAGGTCAGACACGGCAGGTGCGGCCCACCGATTTGCTTGGACCAGGCAGCCCACCAGCCGGCCACGGTCGCAGATCAGACATGGTAGGTTGGACCCACCAGTTTGCCTGGGCGTCTCCCACCAGCCTTTCGTCAATTCGTCACAGATCGTAGGCAGCTGGGGGATCGCTCAGTGCTTTGTTTGAGTCCACCCTTAGCCCATGATCAGCCTGCAATGCATTTCGCCTTTAGCTTGTTCGCAGCTCGTTCTCAGCTCTTCCCCGGCTTACCTGCAGCTTGTCCCTAATTTGATTATCATCGTGTCATCACTCATTTCTAGGTCGTCCCAACCAGCCCCTAGTTCTTCCCCAACGCGCCCCAGGCTCGTCCCCAGCCCCCAGCCCGTCATTTGCCCGTGCCCAGCTGATCCCCAGCCTGTCTCAAGGTCGTCCCCAGCCCCCAGCCCGTCATTTGCCCGTGCCCAGTTGATCCCCAGCCTGTCTCAAGCTCGTCTCCAGCCCGTCCACTGGTCGTGCCCACACCTCCCCCGCGCGCCCCCAGCGCTTCTTCAGCTTGTCACCAGCTACTCCCAACCGTCCCCAATCCGCCCCTAATCCATCCCCAGCCCGTCCCCAGCCTGTCTCTAGCTGCCCACAGCCCGTCTCCAGCTCGTCTCCAGCTCATCCCCGTCATCCCTATCCCGTCCCGAGCCTGTCCCCAGTCCGTCCCCAGGCCCTCCCTGCCCCGTCCCCAGGCCAGCCCTAGTGTGTCGCCGCCGGTTGCATGTGACGTCACAGGCGCGGACCGCGCCCGCGGGTGGCGTGCGGTGGCGGCGGCGGCGGCGGCGACGGCGGCCGCCCCTGGGCCGCTGGGCCGGTTCTGGGTCAGTGAGAGCCGCGCGCGGCCCGCGTCGCCCGCCCCAGTCTCCCTCCAGACGTGATCCGCTCAACATGAGGCTGCTCGTGCTCCTGGCCTGTCTGGCGCTGGCCGCCGCCGTCCCGCAGCAGGTGAGCGCCCCGGCTCCGCTGCGCCTGACACTGCACCCCGCACGGCTCTGTACAGACTGCACGCCCCTCCGCCACCCCACCTAACACACGGTTCTGCACTCTACGCACGGCTCTTGGTCCCCGACCACTGGTGCTCCCAACAACCGTACTTCTCGTGAGACGCCCCGCTCGCTCGCGCCGGCTCCCTGCGTTCGCTGCATTGGTAACAAGCGTCCATGCCCACGTGAGCTCCAGTAGCGGCGCCCGGTGGATTAGGCGGATTCCGCAAGCACGTGGGAATCATGGCAAGGCTGAAAACCGGACGCGCATGTGCTCTCCGGTCTGTTCCGGCCGCAGAGGTCTGAGCAGGCGTTAGGAATGCCAAGGTGACCACAAAATTGTCGTTGGTTAGAAACTTGTTGTCTATGATAACTTGCGTTGCATATTGTTGACTTCCTGTTTCTGCGTCTTTGACATGGACACTAATAACAAGCACTGATATCAGTCGCCTACCTAGTGGGCTCATAGCCACAAGTCAGCCGACCCCCTAGAACCTAGGTGCAGACCCGAACGCTTAGCCTCCTGAATATATGAGCCATGCATTGATACGTTTCAGGCCATCACTTGCGGGCCTTAATATCAGTCCATCGTGCATAAGAACCTCGCCGCCACGTACCGGCCCGAGTCTGACAAGACATGACGGCTCGGTACAAAAACCCGGCGTACAAGCTGGGCGCGATGATTAGCACTGCGTGGTGCGCGCAGGCGTGCAAAATAAACTGGCAATATTTGTTATGCTATCAATACATTACTATGTAGATAAAGTGCAAACACGACGCTCATGTTGCAAACTATTCTTCGCAGATTTGATCAGAAAAGAGCAATTGCTTCTTTCAACGAGATTATATGGTTATATTTTTTTCTCTTCTTCTAACTATTCTACGCAGATTTGATCAGAAAAGACCAATTACTTCTTTCAACGAGATTATATGGTTATATTTGTTTTTCTCCGTCCTCTTTTCTGATAAGTTGAACTCATGTTTGTACGTTAAGCGTTTAGAGACAAATATCATGATACTTGACTATAAGCATCGTTTTGAGCTGACATGAAACGCATCGACACCTTTGGAGCAGTACCACTTCCTTGTGGCATGGAGGCTGTTAACTTTTTTGTACTGTCGTGGAGCGCTTGGCTGAAATCGTCTTGGTGATCTAATTACGTGTATTTTTGGTCAAACTTGCACAAACACAACGAACTTGTTATTCTTTTCACTTAACCCTGTTGCAAACCAGACCAAACAAGACGTGCAGCCCCGAGTCGACGCGCTCCATAAACGGTCGCGGTCGGCGGTTCCCACAAGACCGGGAAAGAATTTGTAATGTCACGACCGAGCCTCGCATGCACAAGTCGAATGAACGCAACGATCAGGAACAAACCGCCAGAACGGTGCCAGAAGCTGATGGCTTGGACACCAGAACAGTGTCAATGCACATTCACGGTCTCTTAACGCTCTGAGAACTGGCTTCACCAACGAGAGTAGCACCAGTTGGGTGTCGGTGGCTCACAACACTGAAGGACTGGTAAAAAACCGCTGGCTCTGCGTCATCGTCTGATATAGGGGTCAGAAGTTATCCCGTCACCGTATGAGATGAAGTCAGCGTAGTCAACCTTGACGTATTTTGCAACTTAGCGGAAAGCCCTGATGAGATGCAGTAGGCTTACAGGACACACCACCCTGACAAGGTTCATGACGAAACCGGAACACCGCGCACATAGTGTCTGGATCCTGATCTTATGGGTCTGACTGACGAGGCCGGGGAGGCGACCCAGGACCAGCAGTCAGGCGGTCGCTTCCCGATGATCGCGAGCCAGAGCACGATGACATCAGGTCAGCCGATCTTTCGCGGCCCGGGCGGCCGGCCGGGACAGGTCGCGCGCGACCACCACTGACCTGGCAGGATGTGGGCCACGGTCAGTGACCCGGCCGCGCGCCAGGAACCTGTTCAGAGCGCACGAGCGCCGGCGCCCCACTTACCGCTCATCCCGTATGCAGTGGCGCCGCCGGTTTCTCCGCCGCGTCGCCGCACCTCCCGAAATGATCGGCGCACGCCCGGGAGCAGGCCCCGCTCGTGTGGGGTCAGCCTCCGCCGCCCGACGGCCTCCCGCCGACGCCGAGCGACGGGCGTCGGCGGCGGCGCTGAGCCCGCCGGCAGCGGCCGCGGCGGTCGGCGACGCCCGCGCCCGCGGTGTATGCCGCCGCCGCAGCGACGCGTCGGGCGGCTGCGGCCGTCGGGCCGGCCGTGAGCGATTGGTGGCCGAACTGACGCGGCCGCAGTCCGTGACCCACTGGCGCGTCACCGTCTTCCGCCAGCCCCGTGCCGGGCCTCGTGTCTGCCCGGAATGTGGCGCGGCCGCACGCCGCCCCCTGCACAGCTCCCACTGCATGCCGCCATTCGCGTGCTCTGCATACCGGCAGCTGGGTGATGAGGATCGGGCTTCACTGATGGCTTCGGAGGCGTCAGATGAGCATGCGATGTAGATTGTGCTTGGAGCGCGTCCGTGCCCGGCGCTGCGGTGGCCAGCGGCCGCCGCCTGGCCCGGGACGAGCAGACCAGGTAGCGATGACCCACAGACCCACTATCAGGAGAGCAGACTACACTGACCCACAGACCCACGAGCAGAGCAGGCCTCACTGACCCACAGACCCACTGCGAGGAGACCAGGTCACACCGACCCACAGACCCGTCACGGGCTGAGCGGCCCATACGGACCCACAGACCCGTCACGGGCGGAGCGGCCCATACAGACCCACAGACCCGTCACGGGCGGAGAGGCACATACAGACCCACAGACCCGTCACGGGCTGAGCGGCCCATACAGACCCACAGACCCGTCACGGGCGGAGCGCACCACACTGACCCATATACCCACCACCAGGAGAGCAGACCACACTGGCCCACAGACCCACCACGAGCCTCCCCATCTCGAGCATGTGATGACCAGTGCATTCTGCCGACCGTGCCCCTTTGTCGTGTACTGTTGGTCTGCACCGTTGCAGGGACGCCGGGTGAAGCCGAGTCTGGGCAACTCGCTGTCAGGAGGAGGACCCGTCTGCGGCGACGGTGAGTGCACTCGGCAACCCATCCCATGGGGGGATCACCTGCGCTGTAAGCGTGTGATTCGCGCCACCAAGTCCGTGTGATGACCCTGTAACTGCCTCCCTGAACATGACCGCCTCCGGGCGAAACAGCGGGCAGCGTGTCGCCGTGCGATCTGCCTCGCGCACAAGTCGGCTGATTCACCGTCGTTTCACTCTTGGCTACGCCTAAACATGTGAAGAAAGCCGACTCCGGGCATATGCCGGCTGTTACTCGACACGCACTTTCTACACGCTAGCTAATACTCACTGGGAGCAGCTCCAGGTCGCCGACGCCGTCCGAACGGCCGCGCGGTAAACCGTCAGACGGGGACTTCAAGTAGTGGCTGTGCGGTAAATCGTCAGACGGGGACTTCAAGTAGTGGCTGCGCGGTAACCCGTCGGCCGGAGATTGCACGCGTCGACGTGCTCCCAGCGCGGGACATGCAGGCTGGCCGGCTCCCATTCAAGGGCGGATCTAGAACACTGCCTTGGATGGGCTTAAAATAAAAAATAGGGTGCTGACTTTAAGCACTTGTCGGATTGAATTTCTTTTGTCTGAAACTTAGCCATCTTGGGGGATGACCGGCCTCCATCTCGATCCGCTACTGGTTCCATCTCAGGCACGCGCCGCTCGCGCGAGCCGGGCCGCCGCGCCGTTTCTGGCGCGGCGTGCTAGAAAGCCGCCGACCGGTCCTGTGACGGCGGCTCCAGCCACCAGCGCGCGCCGCCGTGTCCATATCAGAGGCCGCTGCGTCGACAGGCGGCCGTCACGGCGGAAGCCAGCCCCTCGGAGGCTGCCGCGGCGGTCAGTGAGCGGCGGCCGGTCAGGGTCCGCCGCAGGCCGGGCCGGGGCGCCGCGGCGGCGCAGGTGCGCATGGGCGGCGGCGGGGGCGGCCGCGCTCGGGCGGGCCCACCCGCAGAGGGAGGGGCGCGGGCGTGGCGCCGCCACCGGGCGGATCGCGCCCGGCTGCGCGGCCGGTGGTGCAGCACCAAGGCTGGGCGCCGCTGCCGGACCCGGCCCCGTTCGCCTTGAGGATGAGATCTCGGCGCCGCGCGCGGTCGACGCGCTTCCTTCTCGCGATGGGGTGCAGCCGTCCGCGAGGGGCCGCCCCAGCCGGAGGGCGCGGGCCGCGCCGCCGCCGCCTCTCCGCTGTCGGGTCGAGGTGTGTGGCTTATCGCCACGCCACGATCGCGGCCGGACGCCTATCGCGAGGTTGGCGAAACCGCGCTGTCGGTCTGCAGATGTTCTATGTAGCATTGGTTCCGTACAACTACCGTAGTGCGTGAGTGGCAGATGTTCCACGTACAGATGCTTTGTGGTTCGTACACGCTTTCGTGCGCCAGATTATATCCCATATTCGTCGTTTCAGGCCTCCTATTACACAGTTATGTCCAGCAATCTGAGTGACATTAGACGGGATATACAGAGACGGGGTTTCGCTCCCAGATATTGATCGCAGCTACCTCGTTAAAAAAGGGAGTCGGTTTCTCCGTCGTTTCCTGGCCTACTGGAAACCCATTGAAAGCGCCGTTGAGAGCCGAGGGGCGGGTGCTTCCCATCGGGCGGATAAAAAGCCTCCGGCCTCTCCCAGTTGGGTAAACAGGGTGGACGCACCGCCGCCGCATCCACTCCGACCCCGACAACCGCCCATGCTGATGGTCGGGGCGGACGCGCTGGGAGCGGCGCAAACTCACGAACCGGCCGCCACTGCCGGGGGGCTTGTGCAAGGGTCAGAGGGCAGCGGTTTGCGTCACGGCGCGCGGGAGCGGCGGGCCCCGCTGGGAGGGCGCCGTGCGGCCGTGGGGGCGGCCCATGCTCTCCCCGCTCACCCGCCGACCTTTCGGCTGCACCGCGAGGCGCCGCCGGGCCCGCCAGCCGGCGATCAGCGCGCCCCGCTCGGCCGGGGGAGCAGCGCTGCCGCAGGAACAGCGCCAATCCCGAGGTCGTTTCGAAGCTCAGCATGCCTTTTAGTGAAGCAGTGTGCGTGAGACTCACGTCGAGTATATCTGCGTCAGACGCTTTGGCGGTCCTGTGTCCATGGTCAGGTATCCCGGGAGAAGGCGAGTGCGGGGAGATGGTGGGGGGTGGAGGTCGGGGGACTTGAGCATGGGAAGTCGCCGAGTGGAAAGCAGACCAGACAGGTACCGTTGCCTGCCTGTCTGTCAGCCGTGGAAGGCTACTGACATAGGAGGAAAGTACTTGGACATTGCCATATTCTTAAAGCCTGGTTAAGCACGCGTCCACCTAGCAGTAACTACCCAGCGGTCAACAACAGAGCTTTATTGGGTGCGTTTTTCCTGTCATTTTCTACATGCAGGCTAGTCTGAGGTTAGGCTGATATAATCTTGTCTCATTTAGTTGAAAGCTGCCGAGTGCACCTCCTGAGCCCCGACTGAGGCGACCAATGGTTGGGTGGTTGTGCGATTTGCAATCAAACGGCGTAGATCTGCGCGGCTTTCAACAGCGGATTGCGGAATGAATGATAAGAATCGCACCGTTGCGTCGATAAATGTTTGCGTGCATGTACCCTGTACCGGATAGTCATAGCTTCTCCTGCAACATTGCAGCAAGCTAATCGTTTGAATGCAAAATCAAGCCTGTTGCAATGTGTGTGTGTGTGTGTGTGTGTGTGTGTGTGTGTGTGTGGGTGGGTGGGTGTGGGTGTGTGGGTGTGTGGGTGTGGGTGTGGGTGTGGGTGTGGGTGGGTGGGTGTGGGTGTGTGGGTGTGTGGGTGTGGGTGTGTGGGTGGGTGTGGGTGTGGGTGTGTGGGTGTGTGGGTGTGGGTGTGGGTGTGGGTGTGGGTGTGGGTGTGGGTGGGTGGGTGTGGGTGTGTGGGTGTGTGGGTGTGGGTGTGTGGGTGGGTGTGGGTGTGGGTGTGTGCGTGTGGGAGCACGTGAGCAAGAGAAGCCGGCTGAAGTGACGATCCCACGCTCGATTTACGAAAACTATTTTATCGTTGACTATGTCGCACCCGTCTGGTCCGACCACGACATGCAATTCTTGCCAACGGTCAGGTTTGATTTAGTATAAACACGCAGGATAAAACACTTCCTTGGAAAACTAAACACCTCTGTCATCACTCCTCACACGTTTTCAAGAGTGTGCCGGCCATCTTCACTCGAAGGTGACGCTTTTCACGTCAGCTGCCTGAGATTGAGCGGTGTGAGGCGCCATCTGACCCTGCTCACGCGGCTGCGGCTCCGTGTGTCTGAGTGTGAGCTGGCACGCAGCGCCGCATGCACACGAGCGCTCTCTCTCTCTCTGGCCATCCACAGCGTGGCACCGCACCCGCTGTAGCACCAGGGTCACACGTGTAGCACCGCACAGCGTGGCACCGCACCACAGGGTCTCAGCGTGGCACCGCACCCCTTGTAGCGCCAGGGTCACACGTGTAGCACCACACAGCGTGGCACCGCACCACAGGGTCCCAACGTGGCACCGCACCCCTTGTAGCGCCAGGGTCACAAGTGCTCGAACGCGGAAGCGACCTCAGAGTGCCATCTCACAAACTCATTATCTGGAGGTCGACCGGTTCGCCAAGAAAAGCGTGCTTATCTCGGAGAAGGCCACATGCTGTCTGAGCTTCGTCAAGCGTGCAGGGCTCCAGCAGCATGGCACGTGCACACGAACCAGTGCCGCCCGTCAGCTGTTGCACAAAGCATTTCTTGCAGCGCGTCGCTGGTGACCGAGCGAAGCAGGATCGTCGGTCGGAAAAGACCTGAGGGAGATCTGCACGTGATTTGTGTGAGGGCCGTCTTCCATTCACGAGATGAGACGCTTGGGTATGCCATGGGCACTGGGCTTAAAAATCGGCCCTAACTGCTTAAGGCGCATCGTCGTCGATCAAAAGAAACGCCTGCCTTCGGATACAGCAACGGAACAACTTGAGGCTTGTACCCTGAAGGTTGCAATCAATCAGTAAGATGCGTGCGAATCCAGTGGCATTTTAGCGTTGCAGTGGCGATGTCTGTGGCCTGGTCCCTCCCCCCCCCCCCCGCGATCCTGACATCTGTGGTCAGCAGCTCTGTCTGGCCGAAGAGGCGCGCCAAGACCCGGGCCTGGATAGGCAAGTGCCACTCAAGCGTCAAATGATGCAGACTGCATGCTATGACGTTTAGCATTAACGCCCTCGGCACCACCAAACTCTCGGGCCTTGAAAAGCTATGGCTGGCTGGTGCACACATTGTATTGGTTCATGCGGCCCAAAATTTGTCCAACAAATATCGTGAATCCAGCAAGACTTAATCCTGCAATCTCAGAAAGAACGACCCGCTGTTGTCATTTTCCCGTAGAGGTTCGTTTAGCTAAGGCAACATTGCCTGCAAGCGAGCAAGCAAAGCGGTCCGCTTTTTTGTCGGTGCATAATTGGAAGGCACGCGGCGGTCCTTGCGCAAGGGCCGACAGCGCTAACCAAATGAGCACATGGCCATGAGAGCCACTTAGTCCTGAAGCACATCTCGCACCGTGCGTTGTGAAATCTGTGCCCCCCCCCCCCCCCCCGTGTCTCAGCGTGGTATGCCGCGCAGCATGCTCATTAGGCACTGACCGCACGCTGCGCCAAGGAGTGTCCCGGAACCGGTGACGGCTGCCTCCAGAGAGAGCCGCGCTCGCCAGGCTTAAGTCCGGGTGTCAATCGTGCGGATAAGCCGGGCGCGGTGCCGGTGGCCTAGCGTGGACGGTAGTCATGCGCATGCCGCCTGCATGGCCCGATGCAAGCGCATCTACTTTGGGTCGGTAACTTCTTGCAGAAAATGTCTGCCTTCGCGACGAATTTCAGTCAAAAGTCACCAAACCATGGCTTTTCCTGGAGGCTTTCCGAAGTGGCGGGGGGTGGGATCTAACCATCGGCGCGCGAAAAGGCATCTGTGTTGAGCGCCACACCAGCAGTGCATAGCATCTGCCCGAGTGCCCAACGGGCATCAGTGCAGTAGGCACACATCTAGGTGTGCTGTGTGCACACAGAAGCCTGTCTACATACATGCCTGATTCCCTGGAGCTTGCCGCGACCCGGTGCGTGCTTATCGGCGGACAAACGAGCCGCTCGAGGCGCTGGCACCGTGCCAGTTGTAGTGTGATGGGATGTGTAGATCTAGCTTGTCATGATGCCAGCCGTCTTCCCGTTTTGTTGAGTGTCTGAGTGTCCCCAGAGGTCACGAGCGATGCATGAAAGGTGTGCAGATACAGATATGTATGGCATGCATTGAAAAAGGCGCTCACCTTTTGTTTTTGCTTCTTCGAACACGAGCGACCGCCGCTGAAACAATGGACTGGCCAGGCATGCACAAAGAACAATGCTGCATAAATACATTTTGATCATGAATAAGCAAACAAAAATACAAAAACGAACATCAGCACGACATTAGCCCTGATCAGTCAGTTATACAACCCACCTCGTGAAAATATTGTAAATCGTCATTAGAACTCGGCCTTAAGTTAATTTTAAAAATGAAGTCGCAGGTGGACGACAAAATTCCGTACCTGCGGGTACTTCATCAGCGGAAGCACGTGCCCTCGCGTGCCTACCACGATGCCGGAATCGTCCGATAGATTGCCCAACCCTGGCCCGCGCTTGGGTCCCCTTCTTTCCTAAGCGGACACCGTTAGTGGGGGGGGGGGGGGGGGGGACGCCCACCTCACCATCGATCAAGTCCGGCCACGTCATGATATATCACGGCTGCATCGGAGCCTCTCCGCACGAAAACCGCACAGACCGGTGGCGTCTAAGCACCCCTGCCCGCAACGCCGGCAATTGGCCGACTAAGCCATACGGTAGCCGCTGAGGAGGCCAGAAAACCGGCCTCAGCTCGTCAACCCTGTTTGCGCGCCTAACCCGACTGGAAAAGCGCGCGCCCCGACTAAAAAAACGCAGCCGGAGGCATACCCATTTGGCGGAACACGACTGGGCGTGATTCGTCGGCGCCATGCTCCCCACGTCCTCCGGGGCCCGGTGGTTTAGCCCCAGGATGGCGCGGCCGCGTCGCGCCGTCTCTGCAACGCTCTGCGTGCCGGCAGCGGGGACGGGCGCGCACGAGCGATTCAGAACGGCAGGCGTGCGCGAGGCCATAGACCACCGGCGTCGGCGCGCGGCCGCACCCGGCTGCCGGCTGCGGAGAGGTCGCTGATCGGAGCCGTGGCGGAGAAAGCCGGCTGGCGGCGGGCCAGAGGGCGGACGACATGTTCACGCGCCAGGACAGGTCATGCCGTGGTCCGGGGAGCTGGTGCGGGGCCTGGCGCCGGTCAGCGGTCGGCTGCGGGCGACCGGCGCCAGGCGGCAACCTGTCCACGGATCGGGCCCCGCAAGAGGGGTGCCGGCAAAAAGGGCATCACGACAAGCAGCTACCGTGTCCTTGGAGGGGAGCTTTTCGTGCTCGGCACCATGCTCCGAGGGAAGGCGCCATTAGTGGGAGCCATGGGGAGGAGCCGTTCCTGACGACCGGTGGTCCAGCTGTCTGTCGAGCGCTCATGGGCCACTCCCGATGGACCGCGCCCGCCTGCAGGAAAACCGCGCCCGGCCGCTCCAATTTCAAGGTTTTCCGCGTGAGGCTATCGATAGCCGTTACGACACGAGGCCAGCGCGTGGCACCGGCGTGGAGAAAGTGGGAGAATCTGGGCTACCACCGGATGCCCGCTGGCCAGGCCGCCACCGATCCTGGTCCGGTCCGGCTCGGAGGCGGCGGTCCTGGACCCGTCCGGTCCTGGTCGGCGATCCAAGCTGATGGTCCTGAGCGGCGGTCCTCGGAGTCTCGTCAGTCATGACTGGGTGGTCCGGTGGTCCTGCGGTCCGGTCCAGACCGGTGGCGCTGGCCGATGGTGCCGAGTGTAGTCCTCGCTGACTCTAGGACTGCGACCCGTGGGCTGTGATGGTACCCGGCCTGTGATGCTGGTAGTCTCCAAAGACCGGTCCCCGGCCAGACGCCCTGATGTTCCCCAGCCGGTGGTCCGCGCCCGGAGGCTCCTATGATACACGACCGCCGGTCCCAAAGGTCCCGGGCAGCCGGACCTCGACGATCCCCGGCCGGCAGTCCCTGTCGTCCGCGAAGTAGAAGGGTCCTCGGTCGGCTGTCCTGGCTGACCCCAGGCCACCGGTCCTGACTGGCCCGGTCTGCCCGGCTCACCGGCCGCAGAGGCCCGGCCTACCGCGCCGGCCCGATGAGGGCGTGGTCCGACCGACAGCCTCCGGCCGCCCGCTCGGCCGCCGCCCGCGTCCCTTCCAATATGTGGCCACTTTGCAGGAGAAATCACGCTCTTTCGGAGAGAAAACGGGACCGCCGCGCCCAAAGTCGACTTTCGGAGTTTCGCTACGGTGATGGCCCGAACGGCAGCGTTTGTGTTTCCTGACGGGGTAGCAACCTTAGTCACTGACGAGCGCTGCTGATCCGTTCTCTTTAGCGTGTGTTCACGATTTAGGTGGGCAACAGCATGTCTCGTTTTTTAAGCCATGACCGCTCATGAATCCGGCGCTTGGGCTGAGGAAAGTCGGCGGTCATGCGACAGTGTTGACGCTGTGGCGACACAAGAAACAAACGCCATGTCAGTCCGGCTCCGTCCTGGCTGCACGATATCAAGTCTTACCCGTGCCTCACCAGGCTGTAGTATCATCTGATCAAAAACCTCTGACTCAGATGGAAAGTGGATGCACGTTTGATTTATATATCATAACTGATTTATATAGCGTTTCTAGATGCGAGGCAGTTTGTGTGAAATGTGTGTGATCAACACATGAAAACAGGAATTAAATGCTCTGGATGTTAGCTGGAGTAGACGCTTTCACATTTTCACTCTTCTTCGCTGACGGAGCATATTCCCATTCCAAAGTGGCATGCTGCTGGGAGCGCGGTCCACGCTCAGCGTCCATGGACTGCCCGCTGTCAGCCGCGGGCATGGTTTCAGGCTTTTCGATGGCGTAACGCCGACCGATCAGCCAGCTCGTGCCGGGGACCGCAGCGTTCAGGGCTGTGGTGGCAGGGCCGATTCCCCCGAGGCTTCTCCAGCAGCCTCACAGCTTCCGCCGACGCCTACGCCGAGCGTGCGGCGCTGCTGGAGCCGCGTCCGGAGGCGGAGGGGGCCGCCCCGCCGCCAGCCGGCCGCTGGCCCCTGAGAAGTGGTGTCCGCGCTCACGTGACCGACGCTTTCACTGGCGACAATTAGCGCCGCATTAAGCGGGCGGCTCACTCGTAAGCGGCGCCGCGGTATGCCGCCGGCGCGCCGGGTTCGGCCCGACACGCGCTGTCCAGCCGGCCGCGCGCCAGGTTCGGCCCGACGTGCGCCGTCCAGCCGGCCGCGCGCCGGGTTCGGCCCGACGTGCGCCGTCCAGCCGGCTGCGCGCGACCCCGCGTTTGGCGGCCGTGGCGCTGCAGCAACGGAGCGCCGAGAAGGGCAGGGTCTCGGCTCGTGAGGTGACAGCCGATGTCGACGTGGGCGTGGCTGCCAACGGTGGGGGACAATGACATCTGTGGATTTCACTGCACGAGCTCTGAGAATGACCAGAAGTCGTGGGTTGGTTTGCCACTAATAGACATTGCAACGGACTCGCCATACCCTAAATCATTGAGGAATGTGTCTGGACGGCTGCTTATGTCTGTGGTCTGTGGCTGAGTGGGTCATTTCATTCTCATTTTATTTCATATGCTTTCAACAAATCGTGTCTTTGCTTCCGGGAGACGGCCACTTACCTAAACGAACTACTAGGCCATACTATTCACAGGCCCACCCGAGTGTGTTCCCTTTTCGCCTATTATGGTCCGCCTCAAGCAGCTTTGTACCTATCTGATTTGAAGTGTATGTATGGTTACCGCAGATTCGTTATGTAGGCTTTGACGGAAGTGTCGAAACCGACTTCGTCGGCACAGGCATCGTTGATTATGCCGCCACGCCAGCTGTTTTTTGAGAACGTTCATGCTAAGTGTTCGAAGATCCAAGCAGAGGCTACCACAATGGGCTCAGCTTAACATTTATGCTAGGCGCAAAAATCAGACCTGGGTCCCCAACTCAAAGTCCTCACTGGCATCACCACACTGTCAGCGTATAGGCCGACCACGTCAACCGCCGACCCGCCTCGACCCGACCCAAACCGCGCCTCCTTCCGGCAGCGGGCAACGCGGAGGCGAGCAAGCCGCAGAACCTGCGCGTGTCGGAGCTGGTGTCGTGGGTGCGCATCACGTGGGACCGGCCGGCCTGCGAGGGTGACCTTAACTCCTACATCATGGTCGTGCTGGGCGGCAGCACCAGCTACGACACCGAGATCAAGGTGAGGTAGGGTGCTGGTCCTCCGGTGCCTCGTCTGACGTCGGCTGCGTCATCGGCCGGCTGCTTTGATTGGCGACTTTTCACGCGCTGCATGTTTTCGGGGTGTCTGCGTTGAGCCGGCGTGCAGCTTCTGAAGTGGAGCCCGCCTTGTTGTTCGCATCTGTTCTGACCTCTGATGCTGACGCTGGCTCGACAAAAGCGGTATGTGTGGTGACCTCTGCCGTGGGTGTTCTGACCTCTGACACTGACGCTGGCCCGACAAAAGCGGTATGTGTGGTGACCTCTGCCGTGGGTGTTCTGACCTCTGATGCTGACGCTGGCCCGACAAAAACCGTACGTGTGGTGACCTCTGCCGTGGGCTCGCTCGTGCTCGCGGCACCTCGGTCCAACTCAGACGCAAGTCCATCCTCACCGGCGTCACCTGTGCTCACCTCTGCCGCCGGTGCGCCTGCGCCGCGCAGAGCCTCACCCCTGGCGCGTGTCGGCGGGTCGCCGTCTCACCCCGCGCCGCCCGCTCCACAGTGTGACGAGCAGCAGTGTTCGTACGACATGAACCCAGCCGTGTGCGACTACTGCATCAGACCGGGCGTCGACTACACGTTCTCGGTGGCCGCTGTGCTCGAGAACTCGCAGCTGGGTCCGGCCGCCACCGTCAACCAGGCCGTCGGTAAGCGGGAGCTCACGATCTGTCCTCCCCTCCCCTCCAGCCGGCAGAGCTGACAAACTGGTCCCCCCCCCCCGGCCGCAGCAGAGGCCGTCATCCCAGCTTCTCCAGTCCGCAGGGAGTTCGCGGCCCAATTCCCTCCTTTCCGCCTCCGTGTGGACCCACCTCCTCGGGTCCGCAGCGAGCTCTGAAGCCCGCCCTCCATGCCCGGGAAAGCCATCAGGGACGGCCGCGTTTTTCACGCAAGGCTTAGCACGCAGGCGGAATACGTTGCCTTGACTTATTGTTCACGTGGGTGACACTGGCTCTCCCTGCATCGCAAGCCGTTTTTGTTTGTGCTGCCGTCAAGGCCAAGGCGGGACAAAGAGCTTCTTTTTTCTGAAGAGTGAAGTTCATGATCAGTACAGCGCCGGGGTTGTTGGCCTCTTGTCAGTTGTTTGTAATATCACCATCTGAGTACCAGGTTATCCAAGCATCAACAAGATTCTGTGAAAATAATGTTAGGCAACAGCGGCAGATAACTGTTTCATCGGCTGCTGTCACCTTGAAATATTTTGCATGGTCTGTTTTCAATCGATTTTTAATTACATGGTTGGTGCATTGTAGACTTCGCGGATTAGCTTACATCCTGTTCCGATCGACACCATTGGCTATTTTCCGTGATGCAAGTGGGGCGCTGAAAGAGCCCCTGCATAAATCCATACCTAAAAGGCCTTACAGGAAAAGTTGGACCATTACCAAAGGTCCGACAAGATTAAATCACCTGTACAAGGACCGTTAGCACAGTGTCCCCAAACGACGGTGCATACTTTGTGCACCAGGTGCGCGGTGAAGGCTGGAGAACCCATGCATCTGCCGTATGACCCAATGCAGCGCTTGCTCCTTTAACCATCTCCTCATCAAAAGCTCAGGCGAACAAGCCACCAACAACACCCCACCCGTCCCCAGATGTGGAGACGTGTCCCAACTTTGTGGCGCCGCTGCACACGACCACGCTGTGCCGGGGTGTCTCCGAGGTCAACGCCAACGGCGACTGCAACAACGACATCCTCTGGAGCAAGGGCTCCATGTGCCAGGCGCGCTGCGAGGAGGGCTACGGCTTTTATGAGTCACCGGCCAAGAAGTACTCGTGCGGCGCTGGTGGCGAGTGGAGTCCGAGCGGCAGCGCGCCCCAGTGCTACCGTGAGTACCCCCCCCCCCCCCCCCGCCGCCGCCGAGGCCGCTCGAGGGGCTTCTGCAGTGGGGCTCGGCGGGTTGCTGTGGCACTCGCGGTGGCGTTTAAAGGCGGGCTGGGTGGGACTGGTCTTTGCGGCTCCACGGAACTTGACAGTTACGGTTTGTGCTGCACGGTATATATATATATATATATATATATATATATATATATATATATATATATATATATATATATATATAGTGTGTTGTGTGTGTGTGTGTGTGTGTGTGTGTGTGTGTGTATCACGTTCCATATCATCATCGGGGACTGGCATGTCTGATATGGCATGATCTTTACAAGGAAATCTTTCCGAATATTTTTGGTATGCACTTGGTATCAGAACCCATACTAGTATTGCTTCGAAAACCTCGATCCCAGCTCTCCATCACAGCAATTCTAGTTCAAGTAACATTGGTCGATACATGCCCAGCACTGCCGCGACACGGCAAACTATGTCTCATCCTGGGCTCTCGTCCTTTGATAATTGCCGTCAAAGACCAGCGTTACGAGCGCCGTTCGGTTTTTATCCCACATGTCTGTTACACACCTAACACAGCTGAACTCGCTACCAACAGAGCTACAGGGCTGCACGTTTTAGCTCAGTGAACTGCAGGGGCTACCGTTTAGTGACGAGCTTTGATGGCTTTCACGATTACGTTCCAAAAGCACATTTTATGAGCATGGTAGCGTTGTTTTGCCATGTGATGCACATGCTCCGTGGCAGGAGTAGAATCCAGGTATTTTGGTAGCCATGTCACTTCTGCGTATTTGTACCATCTCGCTACAAAAGTTCTCAGGTGGCAGCATTTCAACCATTGCTGGTGGAGGTGAATACGAGCCAGAGCTCATGGCGAGCCTGAAGCGCCGACATGCAGTGCTACACGGGTGCTACACGGGTGTTACACGTGGGCAACCGGCCATAACGAGCTCGTGTCCAACCCGCAGAGATCGTGCCCGTGTTTTCCGCCAACCTGCAGTATAAGATCACGTACCAACGCGAGTCGGTGGAGTCACTCAAACACCAGTTCGACGGCCTCGTCTACAAGTACAACGACATCTTCTGTCCATATCCGGAGGAGTGCGGCGTCTCCGACCTCAGCATGAAGGCATCGGTAAGGCCACTCGCTCTCCATGCACGGGGACGAGGGGGAGGGGTCACAACGCTCTCGTGACCATGGAAACGGCCTTGAAGCGACAGATATTCTCACGGGTGACGCATTCTCACATATGACGGTTTCACATTTTCGCTTAACCCGGCTGTTCTGGTATATCGGAGGTCGGTTATATCCAGAACAGGAACTCATAGTGACGAAAAGTTAGAAGCTTAGGGTTTTTTGCCCGTATCGAGCGAAACCCCCTCGTCCCGTTATTCGCCATGTTACACGTGAACTTGCGACTTTGTTCTTTCAGTTGATCTTATAAGGGTCGAATGGTGACTTACAAGATCTCCCCATACGTACTGTTTCTGTATTGTAGCGTCTGCATAAGTTGGCACCGCATGGTTGAACACTGAATGTGTCTGATGCCTCCTCTGTTTGTAACTATACAGATTGATTCGGCTTGGCTCACACACATACAAAGTGTTTAGCTTTACTGCGAAATCAAATCAAATTTACGTGTAAACTAGATGGCGGCAAATAGCTTCTCAAACCACTTAGCGAATCGCACAAACATCGCCTCTGGCATTAAGAGAAATACATGAAGAATAGAAGAATAGCAGTGCCAAAAATGCATTCGTTTTTAATACACGTGCCCGGCTCGCCTTCTCAAGTTTTGACCTCAGATTACTGAGACAAGCAATAACTTGCCCATGGAACAATGCTCGTGGTTGTGGTCCAGCAACTCTGCTGAATCATGTATGGCCTTTCAAGCGACTGTTGTATCTGTGAATGGCGATTCGTTCCTCGGTTCACGACGGGTCAAAATGACAATCAGTAAAGCACAATGCTTCCCCATTGCGACTCAACGGTCTATGGAGGTCACCAAAGTCAACGTCTGGTGCACACTAGGTTCTCATCATGCGTCTCTCACCCCACCCCAGACCTTTAGACCTCTATCACCTCAGACCTCCAGCCAAATCTCCCCCTGTCCATTACTGACAACGGCCATCTCCCCGCAGCGTGACAACGATGGCCGCCCGCTGGTTGACGTGGTGCTCACCATTGACACGCCAGTCTACAACATCACCGACCAGGAGGGTTTCGTCGACATTGTCGGCGAGGCGCTCAACACTGTCACCGAGGACAACGCCTTCATGACCCTCATCGACTACGACAACATCGAGCTGGTGCTGCCCGTACTCAGTCGCCAGGGCAAGCGCACCAAGGCAGTGCCTATGCTCTGCTGCCAGAAGTGCCCCGAGGGTCACGACTACCGGCTCGGACACTGCGGTTAGTTGGCGAGGCGGCCGCCAGGTGTCGGGGCGGGCGGTCTGCCAGGGACCGGGAGGGAGCACGCTGGAAGATGGCAGAAGCGTATGTTAGTGGTGGAACGCGAGAGGAACGGGGGTAACGGACGTTAGCTTGGCACACGCTTCTGAGGCAATAACGGATGCTGGTGTTTATTTGTAGGTGGGGGTACAAAACGCACGGTAGTGCGAGTCAACTTGAATGTTGGTCGAGTGTCTATCAGAGACGATGCAGCAATTGAAATAGTCTCGAGACAACCAAAAACGAAGAATTAACTCTCATCTAACACTCGCTTGAATTCGTGCAGTAGCCAAGTAGGCTAAACTACGACTGATCATGATCGATTGTGTTAAGTTGCTCACATTTGGCTTTTGATTCTTTTCCTCAAGGATATTTCGCTGGCTATCTCATGCCTGACGATTGCCATGGTGAAGAGAGGCGTTCATTGCTCTATGGTTTGCTTTTATATTTCGGTTACTGCCCAACAGACACCATTAAGTCAAGGTTGGTCTTGATCGCCCTCACGCTGTGCTACGACAGACAGAGGGCCGACACTGATGCTTGTTTTCCTCTCCGTGCAGTGAACTGCCCGGACGGTGTCTGCAACTGATCCCGGCTGGGTAGCCCACTCGCCTGAGGTGCTGCGGGCCCGGGTCAGCTCAGCGCCACAGCCGAGCAGCGGGAGCGGGACGCTCGCTGTCGGTCGGTCAACTCCGCCGTCGACGCATCCTCCGGCGGCGAACCCCTCCCCTCCCGGAAACCCTCCCCCTGGTCGCGCGTCCGCCCATGACGCGGGGGTCGTCGCGGACGCCACGCCTCCGGATGGAGTCCGCCCGCCGCCCGCATGGACTCGCGCGTCCGCGGCGCGCCGTGCGAAGTCCGCACCGTCGGTCCGCGGCGTGCGGCGAGTGCGGCGAGTGTGCGTCTTCCGTGCAGTGCCCAGCGACGGCGGCAGTCTGCGCGTGGCCGGGACCTGAGCCGGCCGCGTTAGTGTAGTTCTGAGTGGCGGCGGGCGCCAGCGCAGGGTCGAGCCCGTGCGGCGGACGGTGCGGCGCGCCCAGCAGGCCGGCACACGTGCTCTCAACGGTGAGAGAGTCGAAGCGATGCGTCGTATTGATACGTGCTCAACGTCTTACCCATACCATGTGAAGCAAATCAACCCAATAGACCGGTAGACCAGAACGCTAGAACCTTTGTAGACAAGCTCCGTAGAACAGCCGCATCTTTCCGTCCTCATCGCTAGGCCATCGACCCTATTTATTGTTACAATATTCTGTAGGTGGAGTAATACGCGACGAAGCATCCCCGGAGCCTCGATCTGCCGTTGGTTGTTGCAAGTTTCATGACTGTGTTTCCGAAGTGTGTGTAAATAAACGGTCTAAAACATAATAAAACCCAAACGCGGTCGCATATTCTACTCGTTCAGAGGCCAGCACTCGATCAAGACTCCTCAGCGCAGCCTGACCGCCCACGTTCGATGTTCAGCTCTCAAAACCAGTCAGATGGGATCGTAGAATTTATGTCGCGGGCCCGCGTAACACCTTCAATAAGACACGAAGTCCTGAGCACCGATTGAAAGGTTCGGCCTGGGTTCCCTTGCGATGGTCACAAATTCAGCCGGGCGAAGCGACGGAGTAGTCCGCAGCCGCCAGGTGGTAGCAGCGGGCTGGGAGCTCCTCCTCCCGCCGGGCGCCGGTGGCGCCACCTGCTGGGGAGGCCTCCCGGCCGCGCCGCCGCCGGGATGACGGGTGAACGGCGGCCGGCTGCGGGCCACCGGGTACGTGGAAATGTGCTGGAGCTGCAACAGGGCGGGGGGGGGGGGGGCGTCAGGGTGACAACGGTCCCGGGACGGCCCCGGGGGCTCCGGAACAAGCCTCTCCTCACCACAACGTTCGGAACGGTACTTTTGCGAAGCATTTGGGAAGCGCCACAGCTGTACTGAACGTTAAGTTGCTGAAAAATTTGGCAACGGATAGACTTCAGTTAAGAGCGACAGAGAGAGAGAGAATTAAGTATGCATGCATTGCTACGCAATCAAATCACATTCAAAGTGTGTGAATGAATGAGTGAATGAATGAATTGAGAACGGATGGAGTGAGTCATATTACAGAATGAATGGGTAATGTATACTGACCGGATCTTAGGCCGCCTCCGCCTCCTCCTCCTTCTTGCCTCCGACGAGCAGATCTAACACGCCTCCCAGGTCGATCTTGCCCTGGTCATCGATGTCGAACTGCTCAAACGCCTCGTCCACCTCCTTGGGCGTGAACTTCTCGCCCCATGTCAGCAGCGAGTGCCGGAAGCTGTCGCTGTTGATGGTGCCGTCGCCGTCGTCGAAGGCCTTGAAGGCGCTGACGATAACGTCGTCGTCGTCGGCCTCACCGGACTGCCGGCTGGCGAACATCGAGAGAAGCATGGTGAAGTTGATGGGTCCGGGCGCGTCGGCCAGCATCTCCTCCAGCTCCTTGTCAGAGACGATCTTGCCGATGATGTCGAAGGAGCTCCGGATGTCGCTCTTGTTGAGGATGCCGTCCTTGTCAGCGTCCATCATCTGGAAGCCCTCCTTGAACTCGTTCACTTGCTGCTGGGAGAAGCAGGAGAAGACGCTGCTGCCAGCCTTCTTGCTGGATTTCTTGCCCTGTCGAAGGGTCAAAACTCCATTAAGCAGTGTGATACATAAGATTGGTACGCTTTTCAGTTCGAGCAAGCACCTAAAAAAACTCAGGAATATACCGGACGCCCGAATTCATCAAAAATAATAACTAGGTTTTCATCTCACTGTTCACCGCCATGAGTCATCTGTACTCTTGCGCCTAATGACACAATAGAAATGAATCATGGCAGCGGACCAACGTATTTCTGTTCTGTGTATTGCGGTCCAAAATACCCTCAACAGAGAAACTGGGCCGGTCACTCGCAATGCGGATGGTTTTGTTTGGCAACGTGCCAGGTCCGTTGTGGACCTGTTTGGACCCTGGGTTGTGTGGAGGCCATGGCGCTCGTGCAGAGTCACCGGTTCACATGCGGCGTCGAGCAACTCACGCTGGACCGCTTGGCCGAGGCCGGCTTCGCGGGCTCCGGGGCAGGGGCAGGGGCTGCTTCGGCCTCATCGCCCTCCTTCTTCTTCTTCCTCTTCTTCTTCTCTTTGTCGTCAGCCTGAGGGGGGAAACAGACAGGTCAGCGTGATGGAGGGAGGTGAGGGTAATGGGGTAAATGGAAGGAGGTGAGGATGATGGGGTAAATGCAGACGCTGTCACGTGGGGTGATCTGCATCTCAAACGGTGGGGCGGGACTGTGGCAACGAAGTTCCATGGCATGAACCTTGGTCAAATTTTGCCCGAAATGTGGCGGTGGAGTCCTTTGGCTCCGTTCGGCCGGTTCAAGATCCCAAATGCTGGGCAATCGTCCTCATTGTCGCTTGGCACCATCGACACCGGAAGTTATGTCGGTAGTTGGCAATAACTCTCGGGAACTTTCAGACCACAGTCCGCATGAGCATCGGTCACTGACAGACAAACCTTGCTCATGATCGCTTGACCTCTGCAGTAAAGGCGAGGTCACCGACACGATATTGTACGTGTGACGACTTAGACAGTCATAATATACCGCTAACCGCCAAACAATCCGCAGTGCGTGCATCCAGCAGTTCATCTCACACCGACTCCCACCCCTCGACAGCGTCACGTGTGTCGCACCGCCCCAGACACCCTCCAGCGTGTCGCGCACCGGGCCGCCACGAGCTACGCGTGTCTGCCCCGGCTGTCTCAGACACCCGACACCGTATCAAGTGTCGGCACGCCTGCCGTCCGGCGGCGCGCCCTGGACCGCTGGGCTGGCGCGGCCGCCTTATAAACCCCGTTGGCCAGCTGCCAGCAGCGGCTATAAATACCGGGCAGGAGGCCTGCAGGCGGCCAGACAACGGCCCCGCCAACGACCCACCGCAACGCGCTGTGACCCACGGCAGCCCACATCACAGGCCCATTGTGACGCACTTCGAGCCGCAGCGATGCACATCTGCTGCCGCCGCAGCGAGCCGCACCATGGGTGCCCCGAATTAGAGAGATTCGTCACGACGAAGCGCACCCGCGACGGCACGCGCGGAACGACCCACTGTAGGGAACGGTGTTCGATGATGACCCACGCCAGAGGCTCATCGTAAACCGATTCAATCGCCTATCTACCCAGAGTTTAGCAGCGCGCCGCATACGCGCGAAATTTCTTGAGTGGCGTCAAATTACATAGGGTGTTCCCAATAAGAGCTGCACGTTCCCCCGAGGGTCATTGTGAGAGTTGCCCCTTCTCCGAACCAATGCCAGACACCCACCACAACTAGTCACACTTCAATCCACCTAAGCTTAACCACCACGCTACGAACTGTGCTTCAATGGCATTCAACAGCGACGCAACGGGAGTGACCCTCTACGACCTAGAACAAGACCCCCTGCAGTCAACCGTCCCCCCAACCACGCACAACAGCGACCCATCTCAACCAGCCGCGGTGGCGACCCATCTCAACCAGCCGCTACGCTCAGTGCAACGGCATGCGGCAGCGATCTGTGGCAGCCAACAGTAACCCACAAACTCCCAACACGGCGGCCCTCGGCGGCGCCCGGCGACACGTCAGCCCTGCTCGCGCTAGTGTTATTATACCAGGATTCAATTTCCTACCAGATTTGAAATGTACGAAAGCTAGAATAACCAGCAGTGGAACTCAACGTTGTGGTCAGTTCTGCCAAAATAGCTGGCAAAATTTACCACGGATGCGTTTTCACTTCATCATGTACCTACTCCTTATTTTACGTCTGCGGGTACGTAGGTCAGTCTCATGGGACTGAGGTCGCAACCATAAAATGGCAAGGCGCATGATGTGAAACCAAAGCGCTGCCGCAGCAACATTTCTTGACTCCGGGTATTCTGGTGGGCCCGATGGTTTGCGTGGGTTGTGCCCCCGTTTACCAAAATTTTCTTGAATTTAAGATTTGGTGGCAAATGCGGTCCTCGACAAAGAAGACTCGCGTGAAAAAGACTGCAACGGTACACACCAGGGAGCTGCGGAGACGGGCGACGCCACACGACTATCCACTCTGGTGATCATGCATATATAACGAGCGCAATACCAGGACGATCCATGCCAGAAATGAATCGCGTTCGAACCCGATGAGGATTGGGATGCGTAACTGGATAGCAAAAACACGGGATCGGTCAAGCATTGCAAGCTGAAAAAACGTAAAATGGTTCCCATTTCCTCCTACCTCCTTCCCCAGCACTGGATTCGCATCTTTCTTTCCACCAATTGGCCCGTCTCTGTAGTCATTCCGAGCATCTCGGCAATACGCACGTAATGGCTCCCATGATCGCCTCAGTGTCAGAGGCCGAAGCTGCCGACTGCGTGTAATGGCCGCGTGTAATGGCTCCCACGATCGCCTCAGTGTCACAGGCTGAAGCTGCCGACTTCGTGTAATGGCTGCGTGTAATGGCTCCCACGATCGCCTCAGTGTCACAAGCCGAAGCTGCCGACTGCGTGTAATGGCTGCGTGTAATGGCTCCCACGATCGCCTCAGTGTCACAGGCCGGAGCTGCCGAGTGTGGTGGCATTGTCCCAAACAAAGGCCATTAGCAGGCTGCGGCGCAAACTGACGCAGCGAGGCTCTGGTCAAATGACCGCCAACTGTGCATACCACCGTCCTAATGTAACCACCGCACCCAACAACGAGCGCACTATCGTCCCCTCACACCAGTGACTGTCAGACGTAAGCACCCTGTTCCGACGCGATAGAGGCGAGCCGGCGTTAATGGCGCGTGACGTCCTGACAGCAGCCTGCCAACTCAGGCGACGGCGCATGCCATTGCCAGCATGTAACGGCCAGCTAACCGCCCGCGGTGGCAGCACCATCCCGAGCTAACCTGCCGCGACCAACAGCGCTGCATTCCATTGACCCGACGTCCGTGATCAGTTAGCTGTCAACAGTGCCTAGTCTTGCGTCTAATGAACTCCTAACGGCGCACGTCAATGCCCTGGCACCGATTGTGCAGTCACAGGTGGTGTCTCCCTTCATGACAGTGTAGAGAGTCCTATTTGGCATCGCCTCAGCTTAACAAGGCATACCCGACAATGGTACGTGCCAAGATCACGCACCAATGGTCATATCCAACAATGAAAACGTAGCCAGTTCCAATGCAGCGATCTCACTCTAGCACGGGCAATCGTCCATTCACAAATTATAGACATCCGCACGCACGCAGACGGCGAATGAAGGACCAGTAGAAGCCCGCTGCTACCAAGAGTCTAACAGGAGCGGGCTGTATACCGCGGTAAATCTTCACACAAAGTTTATCATCTACGCCAAGGGCTTTCCTAGCGTTTTCGCAGCCTCACTTAATTGGAGATCGCATTACCCCATGATTAA